AATTATTGGCATTTTAATATTTGAATGAAAACCAAATACATATTTCTCAGTTACAAAAATTTAGATGTGTTTTTGATCAAATAAAGTACAGAGAGCTTGTACATGACAGAGGAAAGAGTTGTCATAATAGTAGATCTAGCGACTGTTCATACTAAATTCATTTTATCTATTTTTTTTAAGTAACAGATGAGAAATGGCTGAGAGGCAGATGTATAACACATGTGCATAAGCCTTTCCTCAAAAATCATTTCAGCAGTGTGGCTATTCTGAGTAATTACAGATGGATACAAAAGAGTAGAACATCAGGTGATAGGAGTTTTCTTTCTGCTCTAGGAGGATGCAGAACCCCTGACCTCTGTCTGGGCAGTGCTGATTGGCCCTGTACTGATCACCTGCACACTCCCAGGAAAAAATTAACCCTCTCTAGCAATACACACTAAACTGAGCATGTGCAGAAGGACTACGGGTTCAGTCTGTCTTATCAAGAGATAAGACATGGACCTTTGAACAAGAGGAGGGGCAGAGAAGTCAGAATCAAACGGCCTTTTTACACAATGCAGAGGATTAACCCCTTAGGTTCCACAGTGAGTATAACAAGCATGCTGTACTGTATATACAGACTGATTTTACTGTTGTGCGTTTAGTAACACTTTAAGTAAAACACTTGGTTAAGGTAACCTCAGTATATCGTATCTAAAATGATATACTGTTTCTAAAAACACATTTAAAGGAACTTTTCAGACATAATTTATTGTTTATATAACAATTTTTATTTTTAATGATGGAACTGTACACATATGCCCACTTTCAATTTAAATCAGTTATGTAAAAATAAAGTAGTAGTATACCACGTTATAAAAAAAAAAGGTCCCTCCAGAGATTCATATCATAATATGTTAGTATGCACCGCTTACTAGCACAGTATGATGGACTTACCTAAGAAATGGATCCTTCCAGTGATTAGCTGTCACTGCTGAAAGGGAATCCATCTTCACCCAGTCTTCCTTCTGGGTTCACAGGCTCCGGAGGTTTAAATGGCCAAGCCGTGATGACGTCTCTGTCATAAAGAGCTGTGTGCATGCGACGGTGACATCACTGGCTGCTACACATGTAAATATTTCCTAAATGGTGCATGTTTAAGAGATATTTACTGTGCCTACATGTTGGCCTTATTATAGGCTTACCTGTAAGTACAAGATAACAAAGGGAGTTTATTAGTACTTTAAAAAATATACTTAAGACTGTATTCACACCTGCGCATTTCATAAACGTGCGAAAAAACCCACACAATTTGGCGTTTTGCCATGTGTTTCGGAAATGTGTGCTGCAATCACAGGTTGCACTTGCAGTGGCATTAATTGTTAATGGCACCCCAAGCGTGGGTAGCAAACCCATGTTTTGCCATGCATTTGAAATGCAACAAAACGCAGGCCTTAATGTATTTTAAATAGTAGTTCAGTCTGTTTTTTATATTAACCTCTTGTAATTTCCAGCACTGCATGATTCAGCCTGATAAGCCAGGTGGGTTTTAATACATTGCACAGTACAGAGGGATCTGAGGGAAGAGGTCAGGGTTGAGTTTACCCATGTTTTGCTGCTCCTTCACATTACAGATATTAGTTGGGCCGGACCTTGACCAAGTTCTAATGATTTAACTGCAATATAGAAAAGTAATGTCATACAAGTCTGTGGTACCAGACAAAGGGTGTAGAAAATGTACTTTCCCGGGGTGAGGGGAAGGGGTTCAGTTTTCTAAAATTACAAGATTACAAGATAGTTTATTTTTTCTCCAAAAATATTTTATTAAAGAATAAGGCATAGCAAAGAAAATACAACTACGGATCGCAGTCCGAGAATAGACATAATAAACGGCGTCCCGTATCGCAGACGGGTCAGACATGTAGATTACAATGCAATCATAGCGTAACAATGCAGTAAGACAGGTGTATATTACAAATCTGCAGGTATGAAGAGTATACTAGACGAGGTAATGTAGATAGTAAAGGGAACTGACCCATGTAATAATAAGCTTTTATGATGAGGGGGTACAAAGTGTTGGGTAAGGGTAGCCTTGAAGAGGTTGTGTATTCTGTGTTGTGTATCCAGATTAGAAAATGTGTGTTACCTGGAAGTATTTACGTCTGTAAGGAAGTAACTGCTATATTCTGTTGAGGCAATGTGGATTATGTGAGTATTTACTAAAGGAAGAATAAAAATAAGTCTGAGAGGATAGAACAGGTAGAGAAAGGAATGTGAAGTGGTGTAATTGGAGGTGGGGGGGGTGTTGGAGGGGGGGGGGAAACATTCTTTTACTTCTCTTTCCTCCTTCCTCCCCTTTCCCTTCTCCCCCTCCCTCCTCCAAATATGAATTTGGGGGAAGGAGCAGAAGCAATGGAAGGACAGATAAGTGCGGTTAAATGGATCATATTCTTATGTAGGAGCCAAGCCGGTAAAGTCAACATTTAGTTTAGCAGATAATATGCATATGGACAATCAATAGGGCAAGATAAGGGTCAAAAACTCAGGCGCCCGTTATGCAACAAGTTTTCAACCCATCTAATTGTAAATCTAAAATCTCCTTAATGAACTAGGCATTCTCTGAAACATCATTATGTATAACCGTTCAGTCTGGGGGTCTAGATTGGTCATGTAGTGTTGTGTGGTAGGTAGTGGTGGTTTTGAAGTGACTCCAACATCCCCATGTTTTCATGAATCTCTCGGGGCATTCTGCGCCACAGAAATCAGCTCCTCAATTTCCTCAATTTTGTTGATCCTAGTAAACCGTTCTCGAATAGTAGGGACATGTGTGGAGCGCCAATGAACTGGGATACACTGTTTTGCTGCATTCACCATATACAGGGCCAACGATTTACGGTACGTCTTAACAGGGAGTGAGGAGTGGTGGAGCAAGAATTGTGCGGGAGAGAGGTCTAGAGCGTATGTAGTCACTTGTGTGATTATGGTTTGAACTTTTCTCCAGAAGGGTTGTAGCAAAGAGCAGTCCCACCATACATGTAAGAGTGTCCCTACAAGATAGTTTATTTAGCTGATATCATGACGTTTGAAAAAAAAAAAAAAATTTACCCACTATATTATTCCTAAACCAATTCTTTACGCTTCAGACTTCATATCAGTGCATCCAATGCATAAGCTTCAAACCTCAGAAGATCAGCACTAGTCCATAAACTTCAGACTCCAGATCAGCCCCAGTTCATAAATTCATACCTTGAAACAGCCCCAGTGCATAAACTTCAGACCTTTGATCAGCCTCATTTCGTAAACATCAGACATCATATCAGACCCATTTCATAAACTTCAGATCTCAGATCAGACCAACTGCATGAACTTCAGACCTCAGATCAGCCCCAATGCATAAACTTTATCCCTCAGATCAGGACTGGGACAAGGCGTGGGTGAGAGGGGAGGCTGCCCTGGGCACAATGGTTTACTATAGGGATGGGGGCGCCTTCTTCTGTTACAAGGCTGACAGGAGTAGTGACAACTGCAGTGATTGTGACAAGTGAGTGACTGTTGAGCATAGGATTCCCTGGGTTTGCACATCATGGGGGTCGCAGTTTGGCATCTTTGCCCTGGGCACTGGATGATTTTGTCCCGGCACTGCCTCAGATCATCACCAATGTATCAACGTCAAACCTTAGCTCAGCCCCGTCGCATAAACTTCAAACCCTAGATCAGCCCCAGTGCATAAACTTTGGACCGTAAATTGTAACAAATTCGTGAACTTCATACCTTGGATCATCCCCAGTGCATAAACTTCAGACCCCAGCTCAAATCCAGTGCATAAACGTCAGACCTTAGACCATCCCCAGTGCATACACTTCAGACCTTAGACCATCCCCAGTGCATACACTTCAGACCTTAGACCATCCCCAGTGCATACACTTCAGACCTTAGACCATCCCCAGTGCATAAACTTTAGACCTTCTACCATCCCCAGTGCATACACTTAAGACCTTAGACCATCCCCAGTGCATAAACTTCAGACCTTAGACCATACCGAAGTGCATAAACTTCAGACATTAGACCATCCCCCAGTGCATAAACTTCAGACCGCAGACCATCCCTAGTGCATAAACGCCAGACCTTAGACCATCCCTAGTGCATAAACTTCAGACCTTAGATCACCCCCTGTGCATTAACTTCAGACCTTATACCATCCCCAGTAATTAAACAATCAGACCTTAGACCATCCCCAGTGCATAAACTTCAGACCTTAGACCATCCCCAGTGCATAAACTTCAGACCTTAGATCATCTCCAGTGCATTAACTTCAGATCCCAGATCAGCCCCATTGCATAAACTTCAGACCCTAGATAAGCACCAGTGCATAAACTTCATTCTTCAGATCATCACCAATGTATGAATGTTGAACCTTAGCTCAGCCCCAATGCATAAACTTCATTCACTAGATCAGCCCCAGTGTATAATGTCAGACCCTAGATTGTAGCCAATGCATGAACTTCAGACCTTAGATCATCCCCACTACATGAACTTCAGACCTCAGATCAGCCCCGATGTAATACATTTTCAAACCTCCGATCATCCCCAATGCTAAAGTTTTCAGAATTCAGCTTAGGCTCAATGCATAAACTTCAGACCTCAGACTCCAACCCTGTACTTTTAGAAACACAGGATACTGCTGTAGGCGTGCAAGTTGACTTCTTTTACACTGCACACTGGTGTATTCTGCTGGGTCAATGTCAGTCTCATCTTCCAGTTATGTAGATCCAACATGAATCACACTGAGCGATGACCTGAATCATGTTGATACTTTCTCGACACACTCTGGACTCTAAATGACAGCAACTTGGCTGGCTGCTGAATGTCAACAAACCGATCAGTGATGCTGGCTGATGTCATTGCCCATATATGATTATTCTCCACCAGAGAATGTATTGGTTAAAGTCACAAAGACTTTCATGCCATTTTCTGCACTCAAATCCTTCAAATGTTTAACACATCTCATCCCTTTTCTGTAGATTGCTGCTACGGATTCCTGAGAACCGATATCAGATGGTGGTTTTAGATAAACATGGAGTAGACAAAGAACGCTACATCATGCCTATCAACAATTCCGATCTCTTCACACTCATTGATACCTTCCCACTTCGAAAAGATGAGATGAAATTTCAAGCTGAATTTGGCCACACATGTAACTGACATTTGCTGAACATATTGAGTGAATCATGGTGCTGCATATGACATTTACCTGATGTACAGATTATATGAAAAATATATATTTTTTTTCAATGTGGTTGTGCCTTATATCACAAAGCTGCGGTCAGCACTGAATTGGGCAGCCCTCAGGACATTGAGAAAAGCAGTAAATCTTTAATTACCACTCTTTGCTTTGCTTTCCAAAAGTGTTTTAGCTGCCTTATCCATTTTAGGTACATGGGTGTTAAAAGTGCCTTCATTTCATTAGCCATCTGTACAAATGAAACATGGGCTATTAAATGTAACTTATTTAGCAAGAAAATTTAGAATCAGTGACTTAATTTTATCAAAGCAAAATTCCTACTTCAAAATGTATGTATCTTATATTATATGATGTACATGAATCCTGTCCTTAATTAATGGCCAGTCTTGCAGCCTTGCCTATATAACAGATAAGTGATGCCACCTTATAATGCTTTATGTACAGTTTCCACAACAAAAATATGTTTTGTAACATTGAATTACTTGTACAATTTGGGAAATTCTTAAGGATACATTTTTTATATATTATTAATAAAAGCTTTTATTAATAAACTATTTTGTTGTATATTGTATTGTGAAAGAGAATTATTTTATGTGCTTTATTAATGAATCTAGTTATCAATTCAGCGTACCTCTTGCATGCCTTGCTTTTAGAAGTAGTTTTTATGCAGCAAATAGATGAATGTATTTGATTTACCATAAGTTATTTGTAATTAAAACTTTTACATACATCCAGTTCAATACTGTCTTTGTCATCATGTTATACAGCATGTATCTTTGATGCTGCTAATTTTAAAGTATATGTAAGCTCTTATCTTGTAAAACAACCTATTAAATTTAAAATAGAAAAGAAAGTCAAAACGTTTGTGTATACTGTACATATTAAAAAACATTATAAATACAATTTTTCCTTTTCTATAAGTGGTCACATTCCCTCTGTTCTCAGCTGCATAAGGAGCTCAGGGAGGAGAAACAGCATTACGCTGACCTTCCCAGTGAATGGCTGTGCAGGTGGAGGCATGTCAGCAGAAAACTGATCATTGGAGGAGAACAGGCTGAGTTCCCAGCACAGCTAGAAAACTGACCAGCTGTGCTCTCCTGCCTAGTATGGTCAGTTTTTAATAGGAAAGAAGAGTGACTGGCAGGATTATCAAGTATTTCACACAAAGGAAGCAATACAAAGAAAACAGGATATTTGTTCAGACAGGTACATGGTACAGCAGGCTCCTGTTGGGTTTACAAAGGCCTTAAGGAACACTATTGGGAATGGAATATGGGAGCTGACATTGCAACAACAGGGACAAACCCAGCAACTAGTGAAGTCCAACTGCCAGTATGCAAAATTGCGCCACGTTAGTAAAACACTAAGCTGTGATGGAGGAATGCAAAATATGGCCTTGGAGCATACACTTTTGTTGTCAATGGAGCTATGTATGTTGATACAGTATGTTGTCGGGCAGAATAAAGTCAGTTGTATCAGTAGAATCTGTAGTTTCTTGGAGATGAAGAAAGAAATAATAGAACAGAGCTGAAGACACGTAAAGGCCCTATCTCCAGCATAGCTATTTGCTATGCATTACAGTCTCCTACATCGGCTGGTCTTTCCACCCCCTCATTATTTAAAGTGATGCATAGCTTTGGTCACATATATTGACAGGCAAAAAGATTGCTTTTTCATTATCCCTGGGATATACTGCAAGAGTAGCTTATTGTCCTAAAATGAAAACTATAGTGTAAGCGTGGTTAATATTTTACTGTTTATAGTTATTTTGCGTTTGACTTTCACATCCTTACCTGCATACCTCTCTGTTTCTATTATATGTATTAAATATAGCGATTTTTATATTAGTCATTGGTCAGCTGTATTTTAGGTTAATCGCTCAGCTTCACTGCCTAAAGCAGAGTTCCACTCACTCTAAAAAAAAATAAAAGTCAGCAGCTACAAAAACTGTAGCTGCTGACTTTTAAAAAACAGCCACTCACCTGTCCCACGATCCCGCGTTGCCCCCGCCGCAGTCCGTTTTACCGGCCGTCCTGTATTCCAGGAGGCCGACATCTTCAGTGTGGGATCCCGGCTGTGATAGCTTGCGGCTTCACAGCCGGGTGCCCACTACGCATGCGTGAGTACCACTGCGCTTCATGAATGGTCCCGTCATCTTCTGGGACCTGTCACGTGTCCCACAAGACTTCAGAGAGGAAGGGTAGGAGGACAACTTCTGTTTTTGCCTAGGTGATCGTAGCGGAAGTGGGAGCGGGTACAATTTTGGGTACCCGTTCCCCCCCTCGCTCCCCAAAGCTGCCAATCCTTAATGGGGAGCGGGGGACCAATCTTTAAAGCAGAACTTCCCCTTTTGGATGGAGCTCCACTTTAACAATTACTAAGGAAAAATATTAACCACATAGGAAAGGTATTGTTTCCAGTAGCTATGAAACCCATAGGCATGCTTTGTGAGAAGGAGCAGTGTATGTAGTTTATATGACTTCTGCATTTACATATTGCTTGAGGTGATTGTAGCCGTATTAGTGCACTTGCGACAGAAACAATTGAGTACTGTCCATGATACTTTTTTTTATTTGCACTAACATACAATTTTCAGGACAAGCTTTCGGGGTATGTCCCCTTCTTCAAGGTTCTTGAAGAAGGGGACATACCCTGAAAGCTTGTCCTGAAAATTGTATGTTAATGCAAATAAAAAAAAGTATCATGGACAGTACTCAATTGTTTCCATTTATATACAGTCAGGTCCATAAATATTGGGACATTGACACAATTCTAACATTTTTGGCTCTATACACCACCACAATGGATTTGAAATGAAACGAACAAGATGTGCTTTAACTGCAGACTGTCAGCTTTAATTCGAGGGTATTTACATCCAAATCATGTGAACGGTGTAGGAAGTACAACAGTTTGCATATGTGCCTCCCACTTCTTAAGGGACCAAAAGTAATGGGACAAATGGCTTCTCAGCTGTTCCATGGCCAGGAGTGTGTTATTCCCTCATTATCCCATTATCCTCATTATCCCAATTACAATGAGCAGATAAAAGGTCCAGAGTTAATTTCAAGTGTGCTATTTGCATTTGGAATCTGTTGCTGTCAACTCTCAAGATGAGATCCAAAGAGCTGTCACTATCAGTGAGGCAAGCCATCATTAGACTGAAAAAACAAAACAAACCCATCAGAGAGATAGTAAAAACATTAGGCGTGGCCAAAACAACTGTTTGGAACATTCTTAAAAAGAAGGAATGCATTGGTGAGCTCAGCAACACCAAAAGACCAGGAAGACCACGGAAAACAACTGTGGTGGATGACCGAAGAATTCTTTCCCTGGTGAAGAAAACACCTTTCACAACAGTTGGCCAGATCAAGAACACTCTCTAGGAGGTAGGTGTATGTGTGTCAAAGTCACCAATCAAGAGAAGACTTCACCAGAGTGAATACAGATTGGGTTCACCACAAGATGGAAACCATTGGTGAGCCTCAGGGAAAAAACAGGAAGGCCAAATTAGAGTTTCCCAGACGACATCTAAAAAAAGCCTTCAAAGTTCTGGAACAACATCCTATGGACAGATGAGACCGAGATCAACTTGTACCAGAGTGATGGGAAGAGAGAGTTGTTTTTGTTTTTTCAGCCTAATGATGGCTTGCCTCACTGATAGTGAGAGAGGAAAGGAACTGCTCATGATCCTAAGCATACCACCTCATCAGTGAAGCATGGTGGTGGTAGTGTCATGGCGTGGGCATGTATGGCTGCCAATGGAACTGGTTCTCTTGTATTTATTGATGATGTGACTGCTGACAAAAGCAGCAGGATGAATTCTGAAGTGTTTCGGGCAATTTTATCTGCTCATATTCAGCCAAATGCCATTGTGGTGGTGTATAGAGCCAGAAATGTTAGAATTGTGTCAATGTCCCAATATTTATGGACCTGACTGTATATAAGTATAACAAACACTAATGCACAGCACTGAAATGATTTATAATGAGCTGATCTTGAAACTCTGTGCTCAGCCTTCCTTTAAATGTGATGCAGCAATATAGCAGTAAGGTATAGATGGATTTATTTTTTCTTTGATCATCCAACAATAACAAACAGATTCCCCCATTCACACAAGAAAGGTGGAGGAATTCTCCCTGCTGTGATATTGTATTCGGATAGTGGGGACTCCATGAAGTCAACGATCAAAGGAATATTGTCCGAGATTTTCGATTCATCTATGGCCATTTTAAAATCTGTATGTGCCTTTGTTACCTTTTGAATTAGTGCCCTAATACTAATCTGTGTATTTAACCACTTGCCCTCCAGAGGATTTATCCTCCTTCTGGACCAGACCATTTTTTTGCGTTACGGCACTGCGTTACTTTAACTGACAATTGCGCAGTCATGCAATGCTGCAGCCAAATGAAATTTACGTCCTTTTTTCCCACGAATAGAGATTTATTTCGGTGGTATTTGATCGCCTCTGCGTTTTTAATTTTCTTTTTCAGCCTTTCTTTCTTCTGTTTTCATCTGGTGATCCAGCCAGTAAAACTGGCCATATGTTATACAATTTTCTTGAGAATTTTCTTTAGATTTATCAAAAACCATATATTATGAGGTCAAACCTAAACAAAACTTTCAATTGTATCCAATTAGGCAGGCCTTTCCACTACATAGTTGAAGGTAAATCTAAAGGAAACTGGGCAGAAATTGGACAGAAAATTTTACAGTGTATGGACAGCTAAGTTGGAGTTCATCTTCAGTTTGTTAATGTATTTAAATTTGCTAGTACACTCCCCTCCCCTTAGATTGACAATGCTGCTGTCCAAAGGAGCCCCTTGTGCTCATTCATCCAGGGTGTGGCACTCTAATACAGGAGGCATGTTACTGGCTAGATCACCAGGTGAAAAAAGAGGGAAGAAAGTCTAATGCCCCGTACACATGACGAGAATATCGGACGTACGATCGGCAGTTTTTT